TTCCTCTTTGAAACTCTTTCATTTTCATTCATTTATTGTTATTAAGAAATTATATTCGAATAATTGGAGAAAGAAAAAAACTGAAAAACAAAAATAGAAATTAATTCATTGAATTGGTAATATTTTATCAACTGCAAATGTTTGTTCAACTTCGTAAACAACTAAAATTGGATATAAGTTTAGTTGAGTAATTCCAACAAATGCAGGACCTAATTGAACTCCATTTACAATGAACCCAATACTTCTTGTTATACGAGAGTACCAACAAACCACTAAATCATCACGAGTGATTCTTTTATTATAATAGACATGATTTCCACTATTTGGAGTAACTTTCTCAGAATAAAGGTTGCCATTATAAATTGACATGTAATAACCCAATTTGACCCATTGTTGATCTTTAGGTGGGTTTGATAATTGTGCATAAGAAAAACCAATGTACATTGCATTTCCAATACCTGAACTTCCAGGTGCAACAACTTTAATAGTATATGCTGAGACTATTTCTGGAATCATAGCTACATTGAACTGTTTATGTAGTCTATTTGTAACACTATTTCCTTGACACACCAAATTTGTATTTGAGACTTTGAAATCAACTGAAGTACGTTGGGGAAGAGCAGAGATAATAAAATTAATTAATTGTTGGGAAGTCATCTGTTCAATTCTCAATTGTCTGTTGGTGACAGTCTTTTGAAGAACGGTGGTAGCTTCAGCAAACGTTTTGCATTCTAATAATTTTTGTGCAAAGTCTTTTTCTTCTTCTTTTGCTTGTAAACAAGCTTTTTGAAGAGAAAATAGTTGTGTAAATTGAGACAATCCTAGTGCACTACATAATACCTCATCTGATTGATCGGAATGCTCCAATGAATAACAGGTGATGGCATGTCTCATTGACTGATAGATTTCTTCTGGTTTAATTCCGTAAGCAGTTAATTCATTTGAAGCTGCTTGAAGAGAAGCTATACTTCCTTCTCCTATAACTATTTCATTATCAGTAATGAATGAAAGAATGTATTTAAAGAATTCTTTGCTTCTATTGATTTCTACAACTTTGAGATCAGAACTGTCCTTGTTTTGATTTTCTGAAGCTGCCAAAAATTCTTCCAACAAAGTTCCTTTAAATCTATCATTTTTAGTTACCTTTTCATCTAAACTAATATCCCCATCAACGAATCTTAAAGTAATATTATGTGGATTGAAGCTGCCTACTTTCTTTTGAAAAGTTTCTATTTCACTAAAATGAGACTCATAATTATATAACCTTTTTTCTAATGATCTTAATGATATGTCAATACTAATCAACATATCATTTTTTATTCTATTGAAATCGTTTATAGTGTCATTTATGCAATTATTAATTTTTTGATTTCCATCTTCATGAACAGATATAAAAGAACTTAATAACTTATCAAAGTTATTAAGAGCCTCTTCATTTTCTTTATTTACAGATAGCTCATTCCGTAACCTCTCAATCATCTCTTTCTTTGTTGTAGTTTCATAACTTATCATTTGTTGAAGAGTTGATTGATTAATTTGAACTGATTTTTGAAGAATTTCAAGTTTTCTATTAACCTCTTCTCTAATCATTGCTAACTCCTGGTGTTGTCTTTGAATAATAAGGCTGTGCTCTTCTTTTTCCATTCCTCCTTGATGTTCTATTTTTTAAGATTATTTTTAAGATCATTTTATTTTAATAAAATTAAAAAAAAAAACAAAACAAAACAAAAAATATTAATAATTGTCATTTAAAACAATATTTTTTAATAAAAATTCTTTCTTAATAATATCCCATAAAGTACATTGTTTTACTCTCATTTCATTGGGAAAGGACAGTTTTTTTAAATGACAACATGTTAAAGCAGGAACAAATAATAGCGGGTCAACTGGACTTTTATCATTACATAAACAAGAGAAAAAATCTATTGAGACAATATTTTTACAATGAAATATTTGACAAAGTACTTCATAAGAAGTAGGTAATGCCAATTGTATTTTTTGAAGTGAAGATAATGAAGAAATGAATGAATACTCTTTATTAATAGAATAAGTTAATTCTTTAATCATTTTTTGACGAATTTTTAATTTTGTTAAAGTTGTTATTTGAGTTAATTGTTTCAAAGAAGAAGGATCAAGTAGGGGACACTCTGTAATATTTAAAGAACGTAATGACTTAGCGTTGTTGATAAATGAGAAATCCTTGATATTAAGGAATTTTTGGATGGTTAAAGAAGTTATGTATGTCAAATAGAAATCAAAGTTATGAGGTTGAAGTTTTGAGTTTTGATCATATAAGACTAAATCATGAATTGATGAGACATGTTGTAAAGAAAGTCGTTCATAAGACAATGGTTCTATTATCAAAGAGTTAATATGTGTAAAATATTTTAAAGAACCATCAAGATAACATTTACTTGGAATGTCAAAAAGTTCAAGAGCAGTTAAGGAAGGAAAATTTGATAAAGAAGTAAATGATGTAAAATTATTAACTGATTGTAATGAAAGTGTTTTTACTGATGGAAGAGGGAGTAATTGAGTTGGATAAGAAGTTTTTGAAAGTACTAATAATTTTAATCCTTTTAAAGTTGTAAAAGAAGAAATATCTAAGAATGGTTGTTCATTAAGATATAAACGTTGAATTGAAGTAAAAGTATTTGATGTAAATAATGAAGAAGTTAATGAAGGTGAATTATCAATAAACAATTGGATAATTGGAGAAGAAAGGATATTATTTTTTAATATGAATAACAGTTGTTCATTAGTTAATTTTGAGTGAACTAAACCTAAAGAAATAGGAAGGTTAAAACAAAAGAAAAATTTACAAGGAAGTGTTGATAAAGGTTTGTCAATACTAATTGATATTGGAAGAGTATCAGAAGGTTTGATATAAAAAAAGTATGATTTATTTGTTGGTGTAAGAGAGGTTAATGAAGAAATAATTTCTAATGAAATGGGAAGTACTAGTCTTAAAAGAGATGAATGTAACACGAATTCATCTAATGATGAAGTTTGAGAAATACAAGGTAATGAATGAATATCAATTGAAGTGAGGCTCATTAATTTTATATTATTGATTAATGAATTTAACACATTTTCATTTGAAGAATAAACTTTTAAATTCTTTAAATATTTTAAGTTAGTAATAAATGAAATATCATTTTCACAATATATTGTTAACTTCTCTAATTTTTCTAAGACAGATACTGATTGTGTAGAAAATGTAAGTGGCTCAAAGCATTCAAACTCAGTTAATGAAGTTAAACAACTTAGTAAATCAATTATTGGTTCTTCAAATGAAATTGAAGAAATTGATTTAATAGACAAACGTTTTACTTCTACGTCTTTCACAACAGATAGAAGGTCATATAATTGACTCTCATTGATAGAACTTTTAATTTCTAGTTCTCTCAGTTGTGGTAGAAATAAACAATTAAATGAACTACAATACTCTTTTTCAGTTGTCATTATCACTTTAGTAATTTGTGAACAGTGGCTATATTCTTTAGATACTTCATCAGCTGTACCTCTAAATGTTTTGTCACAAAGAATTACTTGCTGAATTTTTTTATTAATAAACATCATTTTCTTTCTTGTTTCATTGTCAAGAAATTCTACAAGTACTTGAAGAAATTCTTTTTCTATAAGCATCAGTAAATACTGATTTTAGACTCTTTTTTAAGTTCTATTATAATTATGTCTTTATTAATACTTTTATCATTAATTAAACTACTAAATTAAAAAAAACCATGTTAAATAAAACAAAATATTTATTTTGTTCCTCTAATCTGTGGATTTTGAATGACACCAACTTTTGGAGCTTGTTTGATATGATCAATTTCTATACTTTCAGTTGCTTGACAATTTCTACCAGCACCTCTAACTTGAGCGTTGTAGAGTGATTGTGATGACTTTGATTGTGCAATAGCATTAACGTCTGCAATTCCCAACTTACCTGTATTTGTTCTTTGGTCTGACCCACCATGGACCTGACCGTTGACAAGTGATTGTGATGACTTTGATTGTGCAATAGCATTAACGTCTGCAATTCCCAATTTACCTGTATTTGTTCTTTGTTCACAGCACCCACGGACTTGACTATTTACTAACACTCCTTTAGTTCGTTGAGCTGATTGAATGTCAAGAGTATCAGTTGCTTGGAGATTTCTTCGTTGTTCAACACCACCTTGAATATTCTTATTTACAAGTTCTGGTCTATGACATTGTTTAGCTGTCATTGTTTCTAAAGTTGTAGCTGCCTGAAGATTTTTTGGTTGAGGAAGATGAACAGAACAATAAATTTCGTTTGTTCCTTTTAAAAGTTTATAACTTGAGATAGAAAGGTTACAATTACATACTTTACATTTCATACAAGATTTATGATAAAATGTACCGTTAATATTACAAGACTCAGCAGCATAAGCAAATTTATTACATACTGGACATCTATTAGACATGTTTGACTTTTATTGATTTTGAGTTTTCTGTTAGTTAGATCTTTTTTAAAGAATGAAAAGATTTAACTTTTTTTAAAGTTTATAAATTTTTAATTTTGAAAGATAAATGTTTGACTTATTCAATTAAAATAATTAAATAAACAATGTTACAAATACATTAATTAAAAGTAACTTTTAATTTATGATTTGTTTACACGAAAACAAGAAGGAATAGGAAATTCAATATTATTCCACCAATCTAATGTATTCATCTCTTCTTTTAATAATTCAAAATTCTGTTCATATTGGGAATTTAAACTATCGTCATTAAAAATGTCTTCATTTATTGAATTTTCATCAAAGCTTTTTGTTCGTTTAGAGTCAAACCCTTTATGCTTGTCATGTATTATTTCTTCTGAATTCTCAAGTAATTCTAACATACCAGTTTCAGTGTTAAAACTAATTTTAAAGTTATCACAAGATAAATACTTCTTTCCTTTAGTGATATGGTTTGAAGTGTTTATAAAATAAGAATTTCCATTTGACTCAACACGAATAGAAGTGTCGCTAAGAGTATTTTTTTCTTTAGTAGACAATGGTAAATTTCTACCAAAGTAAAATTCTTCTGTGTTATCAAAATCATTTTTTCCTAAAGTACAACCATATACATTAATTAGTCTGTCTTCAAACATTGATCCAGACAATAATTCAGCGAGTTCAACTGCCTTGGACTCTCCAAAATTGATAATTGCCCATTTATTTCCATTTAATAATTTTCTATTATAATTAGATTATATTAATATCTAAGGTGATAAAAAAGAGATAATAGGAAAAAAAAAACAAACGATATTCTGATAGACACAATATCTCCACAATGTTCAAATAAATTCATTAGTTTTAGTGGAGTGATGGTTTTATTCAAATTTGTGACTTTAACACATGTATAGAATTGACAAATACGATAACAATAAGGATCCATTTTGTATAAGAGTAACTTTCTTTAAAAAAGAAAAACTTGGATTAAATATTTCCTTATAACCTATAAATCTAAGAGAAATGAAAAGAGGAACAATCTCGTATTTTCCTTTCACTTTTTTAAAATTTAGTGATTAAAAGAAATTCAATGATTTTTTGAATTGATATTTTGTTGAAAAGAAAAAAAAGAAGACAAAACTGAAAGATATGAAGAAAATATCTAAGATTCTTGTTAATTTGAGCAGAAGGAAACAAAGTTAACTGTTAATAAAAAACCCTAAATATTAATTCAAAATTTAATTTTTAAAAATGCATACTAAATATAGTGAAGGTCTTTGTAAAAGTACTTCATGTTTAGTACTTATACTTGAAAAGACCAAAAACAAGTAACTTGTATTAACACACCATGGAACATATAATTACATTATCATTATCAATTCATTATATAACACAATATGGAGAAGAACTGATTGTTAACTTTGATAATGGAATGAGTAAGTTTGAAAAATATTGTTTTTGAAGACAAAGAAAATTAATTCTCTAGAAAAATGAGTTGGAACACAAACCATGTGTGGACAGTTACATTAACTATTCCACCAAGATCAACTAGGTGGTGGTATTCTGTGACAAGAGCAAATCAAATTATTAGAATTGAGGATTTAGTTATTCCGAGGGAATTTGATTTTGATTCAAAAGACCGATATTTTGAAGTTGTTGATCATTGGAATGAATATTTTACATCAGTAACCCCAATTGTTTGTTTTTGTTTAAGAATTCTTTACACATATACTTTTTTTCATAAGAACAAACAATATTCAATTTATTATAAATCATTGTATTGAGAATATAAAGTCATTAATCTTCTAGGCTTCAAAGAAATTAGTGTCATCAAAGTCAATGACTTCAAAATTGATTAAAAGGTATTTAATACCTCGATACCAAGCAACACTCGAACGAAGAAAATCTCCAATCATAGATGAAATTAAACAATTACCTTCAACAAATTATTGTGGTGGAAATTGGGGATATTTTGATGAATTTGCTCTTGAACATCCAAAAGAAACAAAAGTTATTAGCGTATATTCATTGCTTAGAGAAAATGAAACAGAGCAATAGGAAGATAAAATTGTATATATATCTTAACAAATAGTTTATAAAATCTTTCATTCGTTATTACTTTCTTTGGTTGTAAAGATCTTTAATTATTTTCTTTTAATGAAAATATTTTGTAATTCAATTTTATTATTGCTTTAGTAACAGTTTTTTAGTTGTAATAAAACCAAAATTAGTCATATTCAGTTTTCTAATTTATTGATTTGAATAATAATCCTATATGATGCGAATATTTATTTAATAATTGTTGACGTTTTTCATCACTTAGTGGTGGTTCTATAGTTGAATCAATTAATACAACAAACCGTTTGAGTTTATTACTTTTTGATAAATTCATATTAATTTTTTCTATTCTCTCTTTTAGATAAGCACCATAGAATGGGTCTTTTCCAATATTTTCTTGTGAAGGGGCTTTTTCTTTCAATTCTGCTTCTACTTCTTGTGGTGTTGTGAATAAAACACATCCAATGAACTTTTCATTATCACCAACAACCATTGAACAACGAACTGTTGTAATTGTATTTAGTTGTTCTTCAATTGGTAATGGATATACCCATTCTCCTGTTTTTGTAATAATCAATGGAATTAATGTCCGTTCTACAAAAATAAAATCATTATGTTCTTTTTTTTCTATCCTTCCTTTAAAAATACTTGAAAATGTTGTTTCTGTGAACCAACCTTTATTTTGTGCCTGTTCAGCGTACCCGCATGCAACAGTTGGCCCTTCAACAATAATTTTTCCTTCAAAAATTTTTATTGAAATGTCTTCACTTAAACTTGACCCAAGAGAATGTGCACAATAACATTTCTTTCTATTGATACAACAATACCCTGTTGTCTCTGGAAGACATAGACCATCATAAACTGATAGTCCTATTTCATGTAATTCATTTATCATCTCTAGTGTTAAAGGATTAATAGCATTAAGCAAAATTCGAGTTTTGTGAAGTCCAATTTTTTTAAGATTTCTTTTTAGAATCTTTATAGCAAATCCATACCTTTTTTGTTTACGACCTCCATCCTCTAATTGAGAAATTCCACATAGAGCATTTTTCATGGCCCATTCATTCAAACTTCCTTTCTTTTGTTTCATCTTTTCAATAATTTTTTCATATATCCTAGGTATTCCTAAAATAATAGTTGGACAAACTTTTTTCATTAAAATAAACAATCCATTTGCATTTTTCCTCATTAACTCGGGTGTTCCAATGAAAATATGAAATCGAAATAATAATGCTATATAAAATGTCATAATCCTTTCAAAAAAGAAGCTGTTTGATAAGAAATGAAAATATCGTTCTTTCTCACCAAATAAAAAGAGTTCATTTAAGTAATAACATTCACAAATGATATTATTATGACTCCATATTACACCTTTTAATCCCCCTTCTTCATTTGGAATGTAAACAACTTCACAAATATCTTCTGGTTTTGTATTTTCAATAATTATTTGTATCTCTTTTTGTTTTTGTTGTTGAATTTCAGCATTTTCTTCTTTCAATCGAATAAAATCTAAATATGATTGAATTGTTGGATTAGACATTTTTTTTGTTCCTACAACAACCATTTTAGTGTCACAGTCAGATTGAATTCTTTCAAATTTGTTTTTTTGATGATAATCAAAAAAACATACTATGACTTTACTTGATTGAATTACTTTATTTATCTCTATTATTGAAACCCTTGGTGATATAAATATTGGAATAAGTCCACAAAGAAAACACCCATAACAAATTTCAAATGATTCTTTACAATTATTCATACACAAAATAACTGATTTTTCTGAACGAACTGGATATTGGTGCTTAATATCCATTAATGAATATGCACATTGAAAAGATGACTCAATCAACGATTTCCAAGAAATTGTAGTTTTGTTATCATCCTTAATTGTTAATGCAGGTCCTTTAATAAATTGGTTACACATTAAGGCTTCTACAATGGTTTTAGGAAATTTATCAAATAATTTAATTGGTTTTTTGTCAATGTTTTCAAGTTGAATTTGAATACTTTGTTGTTCCATTGGTACAAACTTATCATTCTGTTCAAACAATTTTTCTTAAATAGTCTTGTCTTTTCATGAAGAAAAGTTATTATAATATGGAGATTCAATCTGTTTAAATTAAAAAGTAATTTAACTTAGAGTGTTGTAATAAATAACAAAAAATAATACAATTATTGTGTCACAGAGGCTATAGTCAATGCATCTTCAATAACTTCTCTAAAATTTAGTGCTTCATTTAATAATAAACAGTTTTTTAGTTCTAATAATGTAGTAGGATTTGTTCTTGCAATTTTATCAATAAAATATAACATAAACACACCACAATCAATAGTATTTCGTTGACGAGGAGCATCAACCACAAATTTGTCTACTTGGTGAGTACCTTCTTTAGATAACGAAGCAATAAAACTTTTTAATTTTTTGATGATTCCAATTTTTGATTCATTTTGTGGCATACTGTCAATAGCAAGAATGCAAGGATCAAATTCAAAACTATTGTCATTTTTTTTAGACTGTGTTTTTTCTTTTGATTTTTTAGATTTTTCCTCACCTTTTTTATACATTTGACAACAAACGATAAATAAATACCAATGACCTGACTTTCCATCTCCTTGATATTGAGGAATAAAAATAAACTTCTTCTGGAACCAATCTTCTTTCACCCATCGAACTAGTTCATTAAAATTACCACTTTCTAATTTTCTGCAGAAGTATGAATTACAAAAGTAGTACTGCTTTTGTTGTAGTTCATTTTGGAGAAATTCAATATAAAAATTAATGATAATGTCATTTAACATATCCCCTCTAACACGTTTTAAGTCTACATCATAAATAGCAATTGAGTTATATCTAAAAAGTTCAACACCTTCTCTATCATCAATTTCCTTTGATAATTTTCTTGTAATTCTTCTTAGACTAATTGTCGGATGAGGTTTTTTAGAGTCATTATGTAAAGCCAAATCAATTTCTTCTTCTTCAACAAGATCAATACATTCTGTTGTTAGTTCTTTCTTTTCTATTTTACTTTTACTTCCTTTTCGTTGTTTTAATGTTTGATGTTTATGTTCATTTAAAACAGTTCGACCTTTCTCATTGTGAGGTATTATTGTATCTTCTATTATAACTTTCTCTCTCTCTTCTTTTGTTTCATTTTCTAATTGTTTAAGATATATGTCAACTTTTTCTGTGAAACTTCCTGGAGATGAATCATAACGTGCTCTTCGTTTTTCAATTAATCCAACTTGTTTTAATCCATCAATGAATGGTTTTGCATCTTGCTGTATTAAAAAAAAAGCATTGTCATCTGAGTCTTTACAATGAATTTGAAGGATAATAGCATTAGTTTTCTTTTCAATAACAAATTTAGTAATTTCATCAACACCAATTTCTCCCCCATTAAATAATAATTTATGTTTATCTAATTGAATGGCTTGTTTAGATAAATTACAAGAATGACGATAAAAGCACATTGGACATTCAACTTGCCATTGTTTTCCATTTTCATTAAAGGCATTTTTTGTCTCTTCATTCAAAATACTTTCCCCTATAAGGTTTATTCCTTGACTCGTCATTTAATTAAATCTTCTGTTTAGGTTATTTCAATAGTTTATGATTTTTTCATAGCATCTTTTGTTATTAAAAACAAAAGAGTCTAATAAAATGATAGAATGAAAAAGGAAGAAAAACACACGAGAGAGTGAAAGATAAATAACCTATCCCTGTCATTAAATGAACTTGAAAATATTATTCAAGAAATCTAAATAAAGGATGAGTGATTGGATGATTCAATTATACGGAGATGTGTACACATTAACAAACAATCCAAAATATCCTGTCCCTTCATTAGAAGATTTTATGGAATTTAAAAAGACAATTGATGATGACGATGGATGGAAAGTGAAACAAGACAAAAATGGAACGAAAGTGTTATTTAGAGACGTTTGTTATTTTTGATTTGAAAAAATTATTCGTATGAATATTTATATTCATAGGCAGAAAATGAAGAAATCCTTCAAGTTAAATTGAAAACTATGGCATTACATGATATTCCTGCAGAAGTACTTCATGATGTTGTACAAGATCCAGCATATAGAACAGAATGGGACTCGTCTATGAAGTCAGAAAGATTAGTTGAACAGATTGATGAAAATACTGAAATAGGATATTATAGTGTTAAAATGCCATTCACTATAAAAAATCGTGATTGGGTCAACATGAGGTCTTGGTGGTTTAATGAAGATAAATCATTATTTATTATTATTAACCATTCAGTTGAACATGAAAAAGCACCAGTTGAAAAAGATTTTATTCGTGCAAAGAGTCTTAAAACTGGTTATGTAATAGAAAAAACTCCAGAAGGTACTAAACTAAGTTTCTTTAGTTGGAATGCTTGGAATGGATGGATTCCTAATTGGTGTGTAAATAAAGCAACAAAAACAATGGTAGCTGATTGTGTAGAAGATTTAAGAAAGGCTTCTGCTAAATATCCTGAGTGGAAAAAAGCTAATCATCCTGATGAAAAATATTGGATGAAAGAAGGAAAAGTTATTCTTGAATCAAAGAAAAAGTTAGAAGAGTAATTTACTTTTGAATTTATTATATTCAAATTAATTATCTTTCATTCAATTTTTTATTTCTTAAAACGTTCAAAAACTACTATTATTTTAATAATAACAATAATTATTATTATATTCTATTATATATTATTAAATATTTATAATTTATAATTTATTAACTTTAGTTTGACAGTCATTTTTGGGTTAAGTTTTTGAAAATACTTCAATATTCTTTATTATTCGTTAAAAAAATAATTCAGACAATAAAAACATTCCAAACGAATTATAATACTATATATATTTCTAATTGGATTAATTTTAACAATAATTTATCTTCTTTTTAAATTTTAGTAAAATTCTATATATTTATTTTATCTAAAAATTTTAAGTAAGAAAAATACACAATAAAGAAATTTATAATTTCAAAGTAAAGAAAATAAGAATAGAAAAACTAGTCTAGGATTATGGTTTTTGTTTAGTTTTTTAGTTATAACTTCTCTATTACTTAATGAAAAAACATATTTAAATATTATTATAAAAATAATGATATGATTGTTATTGGTAATAACGATAATTGATATTATAGTATAATTGTTAAATTCTTTTTATACATTGGATATTAAAGTAGTACATGTAATATAAACAGAAGTTTTTTAAATTAAAATATGGGATGAATGAAAAGAAAAAAAAACAGTAACTAAATTTACTGTTAAAAATATCTTTTAAATTATAACTTAATAATTAACTTAATGTATATTTAACAACTCCCCTTATAAAAGAAACCTAAAAAGTTTGTTTAATGAATAAAATTAATAAAAAGAAAAGAGGTTTTTTGTTTTCAATAAAATTTACAATAAGTTAAATTCACTATGTAACTCTTCTAACATTATTTTTAAAGTTGTAAGACCAATAACAAATCCATCGTCAACATTACACTCTTCTTCTGTAACATCCCAAGCATGAGCAAAATCAATAATTTTACATGCATGTTTTTGGTCTTCAAATTTCCTAGCACCGTCATAAACAAAAAGAACAGAAGCAGAAAACATCTTAAATTGTTTTTTATTCATTACATCAATCATTTTACTAATACTTTGAATAAAGTAAGGAAGAAGATCATTTCTATACTTTTCTCCATCAAAGAAATATAATTTAATATATTCTTTTAATGAGTCTCTTGTATTAACTTCATTTGTACACAAATATCTTGAATATAAAGTTGGTTTATCAGTTACATTACGTCTCATTCCACTAAATCGAACACCAAGTGAAGTAGTAGTTGATGTTGAGTCAACAACTAATCTTTTTTTCATTTTTTTAGAAGATGTTTCTGGATCCCAAGTTTGTGTACCGATTTTTAAATCTAAAACAAATGGCTTTTTAATTTGGTTCATTAAATTTTCCATTTTAATAAATTCAAATTCACCATAACCAAAATCATGTTCTTCAATTCCATAAAATTTTGGAATAATTTCAGTTTCACACCATTCTTTATCATTTTGAACTTTTAAATAAAATGCTTTTTCCTAAAAATATTAATTAACAATTTCTCATAAACTTATTTCTCAATTCTATTTTTGCTTTTCTTTATTTTTTGTTCTCTTGACAAAAAGAGGGAAATGCAAATGAAAACAGTAAATTAACATACTTTTGTTTTCAACTAAAATTGAATATTTTCTTTATAAAAATAATAACAAACCCTTGGAGCAAGACATGGCTTAAGCAAATATTCACCATTTGGTACTAATTGATGACTTCCACCATGACCTCCTGCTTGAATCCATTCTGATTTTGTTGTTGATATAGACATTATGTAAATATAATTTAATTTTTTAAGTTCCTTTAAATAACAATTGTACGATTCCTTTTCGTTCTTTGTAGTTCACGTATCACCACGAATAGAATCGTTAAATAAAAAAAACTATAAATAAATAGAAAAAAATAGTAGAATATATTTCGGTTTAATCTTTCAAAAATAAAATGATTTGTAATATTTTTTTCTTCTTTTAAAAATACAATTTCGAAGACAAAATAATATCAAAAAAGAGAAAAAATGAGTGGAACTTATTTTTATATATTGTATTTCAGAGAATTTTGTTACAAGACAAAAAAATTTAAGCTAAACGTCAAAACAATTTAAAAAACAAAATGAGTTAGATGAGTTAAGTTACTCAAGTTCAACAAAAATATCATTTTTATTATGAGTAGTTGAAATTTTGTCTTCTTGGTGTTCATTATTGTCAAGTAAAACTACACTTTTAATCTCTTCGTTTTGAGACATTTCGGTAGGAAAAGAACTTAGTGATACTTCTTGTTGATAATTTTTTGTATTTTTAGAAATTTCTTGCTTAGTCTCATCGAAAGAATTTTCTGTCATTAATTCTTTTGGTTCATCAGATGATGAAATAATCTTTTTAGGTCGAAAGGCAATCATTAAATAAATTGAATAAATAATATAAAGAGCTTTATCAACAGACAAATAAATAAAATCAAATTCTCTTGTTGAAGCAATATCATTAATATATGCAATTAATATTTTAAAATAAGCAATAGTAAGTAATATAGAATAACATCTACTAAATCTTTGGTATTGCTTTAATGTTTTTGCTTCAGTACCAGTATTTTTTTTTAATAAATTTAATGTTTTGATTAAAGGGAAGAGAATACAAATACTACATATGATATCAATCAACCTTAATACAGAAGTTACACGTGTATTTACTAATTCATTTTCTTTAGCAACAAGATATAATATATTTGAAAGAACTTGAAGAAGTATAAAAAATAATAAAGTTTTTTTCTGTTCAAAACTGAATTTACTTTTTCTTGACCACCCAGAAGCAACAAGTAATGTGACTATATAAAATGACAAAGTCTCTATTATACGAAAGGTATAATCAAAATATCGAATATTAGAGATTCCTTTAGAATCAGTTGCTTTTAATGTTAAGACATCAAAACAAAGATGGAAGAAAAGAATAATACCAAATCCAGTAATAAGCGTTTGCACAGTATGAGTTTCACGTTTATGTAATAAGTACAAATCATATAATATTACTACTAATAAAATAAATCCAAAAAATTCTGTTATCCTAATCATTGGATATTCTCCAGAACTAAGATAATGATAAATACCATCTTTTGTATATCCTTGAATAATTTTTGCATTAAATCCTTTTATTTTCTTATCTACACATGAAAAATAAACAAGCCTATATGTTCCTTTTTTTACAGTTATATGTGTTGACTGTGTTTTTAATTGAAAAAACACATAACCCTTTGAAGACATATTTGATAATTGTCCATTCTTTGTTAGTATACAAATATCATTAATTGGATATTCTGATGGTAATAACACAAAACCACTAAAATTACTGTTTTGATCTTCAACTAATTCATTCTTCAGATAAATACCTTTATTTGACACATTTGTTCAAAAAAAACTCTAAAACAAACTTTTTTTATATCAATGTAAAAATCACCATTTTCTCCATATGAGAATTCTTTTAATGAAACTAACTTTCTAGAGGAAGAAGAAACTGAAAATGAAAATATCTCTGCCTTAACAAATAGGAAAAGGGTTATTAACTCAATAAATACCATTTCCTCTTTTTAAGTTCTTTCAATTGAAAAGAAAAAATAACCAAATTTCTTGTTAACAAAAACGAAAGAATAAAATAAAGATTTATTTTTTAGATTTTTTCTTCTCTTTTTCTTTTTTCTTTTCTTCTTTCTTTTTCTTCTTTTCTTCCTTACTTGTTAGATGAGCTGGTTTTGGTGGTGTTGGTGGTTGTTCTATTGGCGCAGATGGTTTTGTTTGTAATTGTGTTTGAGAACCTGTCTTGGGACTAAGACTTTGATGATGTTTTGGTGGAAGAGCAGCTGGTGCTGCTGGTTTAGGTGGTAAAGTGTTTTGCTTAGGTAATGGTTGTTCAGAAGGGGGTTGTAAATGTGGTGGTCCTTCTTTTGTTACATTTTGTTTTACACTTCTTCTAATTAGTCTTTCATTTCCTGATGTTTGTGCTTGTTCATGACGTTGTTGTTCTGCTTTTTGTTCTGCTTGTTGCTGAACCATAGCAAGAGGTTCTGTTGGTTGTTGTTGAACTTTTTCTTTGAATTGTTGAGAAAATGACTTTCTTCTTCCACCAGTGGCTTTTAATTGAACAGAAGCAGGATTAAACCCAACTGGAATTCCCATTCTAATACCTCCCACTGGCATTCCTGGGATACCCCTTGCACCAACTGGTATTCTCTTTTTAACAGGAGACTCTTCGTTACTTGCTTCAGTTGATTCTTCATGAGGTTCTAACACAACAGTAGACTCGTCATTACTTGTTGGTAAAGAATTTCTAAATTCTATTAAATTCTTAGTAGGAGCTTGCCTTCCAGTTTTTCTATTCGGTCTAATGCCAGTTCGAATTAAACCACCTTCTGATTCTAACATTGACATTTCAATTTTAATATTGGCACCATCGGATTTTCTTCTCTTAATATCTTCTCCATTTACTTTATGTTGTTGAACAGTGTCATCTTTTTTTACTTCTTCATCAAAATTATTTTCTTCTATATTTGAGAAGTTATTAAGACTACTTCTATGGGTTGTAGTTGGTTTTTTATTTTCATCATTTATTTCTAAAGTTATTGACTTATCACTTTCTTTCTTTGGTGATTCTGAAGATATTGATTTTTCTTTAGACGAGTCAACTGATTCTAAATTATTGACTGAGTCAGATATTCCTATTTGTTGATCTTTTGTTGGTTCCACAGAAATTTCTGTTATTCCAGTTGTATCTTCTTCTTTTTGTTCAATTAAATTTTCTTCATGTTGAGTAGTTGAATTTTCTTGAGAAAGAACGTTTGTTTGAGGTTCTTCCTTTTCTTTATCCATCTCGGCTTGTAATTCTTTTTCTAGTTGTAATTGGATTTGCCTTTCTAATTCTTTTTGTTCTTCATCACTATCTAATTCTTTCTTGGTAACTTGACTAGATTCAACACTTTCATTGTCATTTATTTCATTTGTTTTAATTGGCTCTTTTAGTTTTTCTTGTTCAGTATTAATTTGTTCTTCTTTATTAATTGATGTATTTTCTTCATTTTTATGTTGTTCTTGTTCAAGCTCTCTTTCTAATTCACGTTCTAACTCTTCTTCTATTTGACGTTTACTCTCTTCAGATAAATCTTCATCACTATCATCACTGCTTTTAACTTCTTCTGAATCATTCAAATTAGAAACATCTCCAAAACCATTTGACATAATATCATTTAAAACTTCTTGATAAATTTCATTTCGTGTTTGTTCTTCCATATCATCTAACATTTTCATACACATATCCATCATTTCTGTTTTGATTTCTTCTGTTTTGGTAGCTTCAAATTGTGCTCTTTTAATTTCTTCTTCTTTTTCTATTTCTTCAATCCTTTTATCTAATTCTTCTTCAGCTTCTTTTTGAATTTCATCAATGATTTGTTTTGTTTTTTCAGATTCAAATATTTTTTTGTCTTCTTCGAATTTTATAATAAGATCATTCTTTTCTTTTTCCCAATTATCCTCCTTTTCTTTAAATTGATTTTGAATATTTTTTAATTCTTCAATTTGTTTTCTTAATTCTTCTATTTCTTTAATTCTATTTGTTTCTTCATTATTTCGTTTATTTTGTTCCTCTAAATATTCTTTTTCTATTTTTTCTTTTTCCTCTGAAAGTGTTTTAATAATTGATTCTTGTTCTTCATTTTTTTGTTTAATATCATTTTTTTCATTTTCTAACTCTTCAACTTTTCCATTTAATACTTCTTTTTCTTTGTTAATTTTATCAATAATTTCAAGTAACTCTTTTTGTTTTTCATTTAGTTCAGTGATATTAATAGAATTTTGTTCAATAGTACTTTTTTGTATATTGTTTTCTTTTTCTAAAGATGCTTTTTGATCTTCTTGTCTTTTTATTTCACTTTTTAAATTATTAATCTCAACAACTTTCTCTTCAACCTTTGCTTTCCATTCTTTTTCTGTTTCTTCTCTAACCTCATTGGCAACTTTCTTTTTCATGTCAGAAATTAATTCACTAACATTTCCTTTTTTTTCTTTAGAAGCTGCTTTTTCAGCTTTTCTTTTCTCTCTCATTTCTTTTTCCATCCGTGCACGGATTTCAGCCTTTTTGGCTTCTAACGCTTTTTCCTGTTCACTCATATTTGATGACTCTTTTAAGTTCTTTTAATCTGATCTTTCAATTCCTCAAAACTCAAAAAACAATTTATTTCCTTATTTTTGTATGGAATAATGTATTTTATTGTTATTTTAATAACAAAATTTTTTTTGTAATGATAAATTATAATTAAAATCTTATTATCAATAAAATAAGATTTGAAAATAATCTTTTCTAAATACTAAAAACCGAAAATAACCATTTAATTCACTTATTCTTCATCACAGGCATCAGAAGTCCAGAGTGTTAAATTATCTCTTAATAATTGCATA